ACCATGCTCACCACACTCACGACGCTCACCACGCTCACCACTCTCACCACACTCACCACGCTCACCACACTCACCACACTCACCACTCTCACCACACTCACCACACTCACCACTCTCACCACGCTCACCACGCTCACCACTCTCACCACGCTCACCACGCTCACCACACTCACCACGCTCACCACACTCACCACGCTCACCACGCTCACCACTCACCACGCTCACCACGCTCACCACGCTCACCACGCTCACCACACTCACCACGCTCACCACGCTCACCACACTCACCACGCTCACCACTCTCACCACACTCACCACGCTCACCACTCTCACCACACTCACCACGCTCACCACACTCACCACACTCACCACACTCACCACGCTCACCACACTCACCACGCTCACCACGCTCACCACTCTCACCACGCTCACCACGCTCACCACGCTCACCACGCTCACCACGCTCACCACACTCACCACGCTCACCACACTCACCACGCTCACCACACTCACCACGCTCACCACGCTCACCACGCTCACCACGCTCACCACGCTCACCACGCTCACCACGCTCACCACGCTCACCACGCTCACCACGCTCACCACACTCACCACGCTCACCACGCTCACCACGCTCACCACGCTCACCACACTCACCACACTCACCACACACACCACGCTCACCACACTCACCACACTCACCACGCTCACCACGCTCACCACGCTCACCACGCTCACCACGCTCACCACGCTCACCACGCTCACCACGCTCACCACGCTCACCACACTCACCACGCTCACCACGCTCACCACGCTCACCACGCTCACCACACTCACCACACTCACCACACTCACCACGCTCACCACACTCACCACGCTCACCACACTCACCACACTCACCACACTCACCACACTCACCACACTCACCACACTCACCACGCTCACCACACTCACCACACTCACCACACTCACCACGCTCACCACACTCACCACGCTCACCACACTCACCACACTCACCACACTCACCACGCTCACCACACTCACCACGCTCACCACGCTCACCACACTCACCACACTCACCACGCTCACCACGCTCACCACACTCACCACGCTCACCACACACACCACACACACCACGCTCACCACTCACCACACTCACCACACTCACCACGCTCACCACACTCACCACGCTCACCACGCTCACCACACTCACCACGCTCACCACACTCACCACGCTCACCACGCTCACCACGCTCACCACGCTCACCACGCTCACCACACTCACCACACTCACCACGCTCACCACGCTCACCACGCTCACCACGCTCACCACACTCACCACACTCACCACGCTCACCACGCTCACCACGCTCACCACACTCACCACACTCACCACGCTCACCACACTCACCACGCTCACCACACTCACCACGCTCACCACGCTCACCACACTCACCACGCTCACCACGCTCACCACGCTCACCACACTCACCACACTCACCACACTCACCACACTCACCACACTCACCACACTCACTCACCACACTCACCACACTCACCACGCTCACCACGCTCACCACGCTCACCACGCTCACCACGCTCACCACGCTCACCACACTCACCACACTCACCACACTCACCACGCTCACCACGCTCACCACGCTCACCACACTCACCACTCTCACCACGCTCACCACGCTCACCACGCTCACCACGCTCACCACGCTCACCACGCTCACCACGCTCACCACGCTCACCACGCTCACCACGCTCACCACACTCACCACGCTCACCACGCTCACCACACTCACCACGCTCACCACGCTCACCACGCTCACCACACTCACCACACTCACCACGCTCACCACGCTCACCACTCTCACCACTCTCACCACACTCACCACACTCACCACGCTGAACACGCTCACCACACTCACCACGCTCACCACACTCACCACGCTCACCACGCTCACCACGCTCACCACGCTCACCACGCTCACCACGCTCACCACGCTCACCACGCTCACCACACTCACCACGCTCACCACGCTCACCACACTCACCACACTCACCACGCTCACCACACTCACCACGCTCACCACGCTGAACACGCTCACCACACTCACCACGCTCACCACGCTCACCACGCTCACCACGCTCACCACGCTCACCACGCTCACCACGCTCACCACGCTCACCACGCTCACCACGCTCACCACGCTCACCACGCTCACCACACTCACCACTCTCACCACTCTCACCACGCTCACCACGCTCACCACGCTCACCACGCTCACCACGCTCACCACGCTCACCACGCTCACCACGCTCACCACGCTCACCACGCTCACCACACTCACCACGCTCACCACGCTCACCACACTCACCACACTCACCACGCTCACCACGCTCACCACACTCACCACACTCACCACGCTCACCACGCTCACCACTCTCACCACTCTCACCACACTCACCACACTCACCACGCTGAACACGCTCACCACACTCACCACGCTCACCACACTCACCACGCTCACCACGCTCACCACGCTCACCACGCTCACCACACTCACCACGCTCACCACGCTCACCACGCTCACCACACTCACCACGCTCACCACGCTCACCACACTCACCACGCTCACCACGCTCACCACGCTCACCACACTCACCACACTCACCACGCTCACCACGCTCACCACGCTCACCACGCTCACCACACTCACCACGCTCACCACGCTGAACACGCTCACCACACTCACCACGCTCACCACACTCACCACGCTCACCACGCTCACCACGCTCACCACACTCACCACACTCACCACGCTCACCACACTCACCACGCTCACCACGCTGAACACGCTCACCACACTCACCACGCTCACCACACTCACCACGCTCACCACGCTCACCACGCTCACCACACTCACCACGCTCACCACACTCACCACACTCACCACGCTCACCACACTCACCACACTCACCACACTCACCACACTCACCACACTCACCACGCTCACCACACTCACCACACTCACCACACTCACCACGCTCACCACTCTCACCACGCTCACCACACTCACCACGCTCACCACGCTCACCACACTCACCACGCTCACCACGCTCACCACGCTCACCACACTCACCACACTCACCACACTCACCACACTCACCACACTCACCACGCTCACCACGCTCACCACACTCACCACACTCACCACGCTCACCACACTCACCACACTCACCACGCTCACCACACTCACCACGCTCACCACGCTCACCACACTCACCACGCTCACCACGCTCACCACACTCACCACACTCACCACGCTCACCACACTCACCACGCTCACCACGCTCACCACGCTCACCACACTCACCACGCTCACCACGCTCACCACGCTCACCACGCTCACCACGCTCACCACGCTCACCACGCTCACCACGCTCACCACACTCACCACACTCACCACACTCACCACGCTCACCACACTCACCACACTCACCACGCTCACCACACTCACCACTCTCACCACGCTCACCACGCTCACCACACTCACCACGCTCACCACGCTCACCACACTCACCACACTCACCACGCTCACCACACTCACCACGCTCACCACACTCACCACGCTCACCACACTCACCACGCTCACCACTCTCACCACACTCACCACGCTCACCACTCTCACCACACTCACCACTCTCACCACACTCACCACGCTCACCACACTCACCACGCTCACCACACTCACCACACTCACCACGCTCACCACACTCACCACACTCACCACTCTCACCACACTCACCACGCTCACCACGCTCACCACACTCACCACGCTCACCACACTCACCACGCTCACCACTCTCACCACACTCACCACTCTCACCACACTCACCACGCTCACCACACTCACCACGCTCACCACACTCACCACACTCACCACGCTCACCACACTCACCACACTCACCACTCTCACCACACTCACCACGCTCACCACGCTCACCACACTCACCACGCTCACCACACTCACCACGCTCACCACACTCACCACGCTCACCACACTCACCACACTCACCACGCTCACCACACTCACCACGCTCACCACACTCACCACGCTCACCACTCTCACCACACTCACCACGCTCACCACACTCACCACACTCACACTCACCACGCTCACCACGCTCACCACACTCACCACACTCACCACGCTCACCACGCTCACCACACTCACCACGCTCACCACACTCACCACGCTCACCACACTCACCACGCAAGCTGCTTCTGCGATGGCTGCGTCTTCATCCAGTGACGTCAGCTGCACCACCATCACACCGCTGGCAAACGGGCGAAGCCTGGCACCACCACCACCACCACCACACAGCCATACTTCACCATTAGGGTACATCACTACACGTGTGTGTGTCACAGTGAAGACATACTTCACCATTAGGGTACATCACTACACCTGTGTGTGTGTGTGTGTCACTGTGAAGACATACTTCACCATTAGGGTACATCACTACACGTGTGTGTGTGTCACAGTGAAGACATACTTCACCATTAGGGTACATCACTACACGTGTGTATGTCACAGTGAAGACATACTTCAGCATTAGGGTACATCACTACATGTGTGTGTGTGTGTGTCACTGTGAAGACATACTTCACCATTAGGGTACATCACTACACGTGTGTGAGTGTGTGTGTCACTGTGAAGACATACTTCACCATTAGGGTACATCACTACGTGTGTGTGTGTGTCACTGTGAAGACATACTTCACCATTAGGGTACATCACTACACCTGTGTATGTGTGTCACTGTGAAGACATACTTCACCATTAGGGTACATCACTACACGTGTGTGTGTGTCACAGTGAAGACATACTTCACCATTAGGGTACATCACTACACGTGTGTATGTCACAGTGAAGACATACTTCAGCATTAGGGTACATCACTACATGTGTGTGTGTGTGTGTCACTGTGAAGACATACTTCACCATTAGGGTACATCACTACACGTGTGTGTGTGTGTGTGTCACAGTGAAGACATACTTCACCATTAGGGTACATCGCTACACGTGTGTGTGTCACTGTGAAGACATACTTCACCATTAGGGTACATCGCTACACGTGTGTGTGTGTGTATGTCACAGTGAAGACATACTTCACCATTAGGGTACATCGCTACACGTGTGTGTGTCACTGTGAAGACATACTTCACCATTAGGGTACATCACTACGTGTGTGTGTGTGTCACTGTGAAGACATACTTCACCATTAGGGTACATCACTACACCTGTGTATGTGTGTCACTGTGAAGACATACTTCACCATTAGGGTACATCACTACACGTGTGTGTGTGTCACAGTGAAGACATACTTCACCATTAGGGTACATCACTACACGTGTGTATGTCACAGTGAAGACATACTTCAGCATTAGGGTACATCACTACATGTGTGTGTGTGTGTGTCACTGTGAAGACATACTTCACCATTAGGGTACATCACTACACGTGTGTGAGTGTGTGTGTCACTGTGAAGACATACTTCACCATTAGGGTACATCACTACGTGTGTGTGTGTGTCACTGTGAAGACATACTTCACCATTAGGGTACATCACTACACCTGTGTATGTGTGTCACTGTGAAGACATACTTCACCATTAGGGTACATCACTACACGTGTGTGTGTGTCACAGTGAAGACATACTTCACCATTAGGGTACATCACTACACGTGTGTATGTCACAGTGAAGACATACTTCAGCATTAGGGTACATCACTACATGTGTGTGTGTGTGTGTCACTGTGAAGACATACTTCACCATTAGGGTACATCACTACACGTGTGTGTGTGTGTGTGTCACAGTGAAGACATACTTCACCATTAGGGTACATCGCTACACGTGTGTGTGTCACTGTGAAGACATACTTCACCATTAGGGTACATCGCTACACGTGTGTGTGTGTGTATGTCACAGTGAAGACATACTTCACCATTAGGGTACATCGCTACACGTGTGTGTGTCACTGTGAAGACATACTTCACCATTAGGGTACATCACTACGTGTGTGTGTGTGTCACTGTGAAGACATACTTCACCATTAGGGTACATCACTACACCTGTGTATGTGTGTCACTGTGAAGACATACTTCACCATTAGGGTACATCACTACACGTGTGTGTGTGTCACAGTGAAGACATACTTCACCATTAGGGTACATCACTACACGTGTGTATGTCACAGTGAAGACATACTTCAGCATTAGGGTACATCACTACATGTGTGTGTGTGTGTGTCACTGTGAAGACATACTTCACCATTAGGGTACATCACTACACGTGTGTGAGTGTGTGTGTCACTGTGAAGACATACTTCACCATTAGGGTACATCACTACGTGTGTGTGTGTGTCACTGTGAAGACATACTTCACCATTAGGGTACATCACTACACCTGTGTATGTGTGTCACTGTGAAGACATACTTCACCATTAGGGTACATCACTACACGTGTGTGTGTGTCACAGTGAAGACATACTTCACCATTAGGGTACATCACTACACGTGTGTATGTCACAGTGAAGACATACTTCAGCATTAGGGTACATCACTACATGTGTGTGTGTGTGTGTCACTGTGAAGACATACTTCACCATTAGGGTACATCACTACACGTGTGTGTGTGTGTGTGTCACAGTGAAGACATACTTCACCATTAGGGTACATCGCTACACGTGTGTGTGTCACTGTGAAGACATACTTCACCATTAGGGTACATCGCTACACGTGTGTGTGTGTGTATGTCACAGTGAAGACATACTTCACCATTAGGGTACATCGCTACACGTGTGTGTGTCACTGTGAAGACATACTTCACCATTAGGGTACATCACTACACGTGTGTGTGTCACAGTGAAGACATACTTCACCATTAGGATACATCACTACACGTGTGTGTGTCACAGTGAAGACATACTTCACGATTAGGGTACATTGCTACACGTGTGTGTGTCACTGTGAAGACATACTTCACCATTAGGGTACATCGCTACATGTGTGTGTGTGTGTGTCACTGTGAAGACATACTTCACCATTAGGGTACATCGCTACACGTGTGAGTGTGTGTGTCACAGTGAAGACATACTTCACCATTAGGGTACATCACTACACGTGTGTGTGTGTGTGTCACAGTGAAGACATACTTCACCATTAGGGTACATCACTACACGTGTGTGTGTGTGTCACTGTGAAGACATACTTCACCATTAGGGTACATCGCTACACGTGTGTGTGTCACTGTGAAGACATACTTCACCATTAGGGTACATCACTACACGTGTGTGTGTGTGTCACAGTGAAGACATACTTCACCATTAGGGTACATCGCTACACGTGTGTGTCACTGTGAAGAAATACTTCACCATTAGGGTACATCACTACACGTGTGTGTGTGTGTGTCACTGTGAAGACATACTTCACCATTAGGGTACATCGCTACACGTGTGTGTGAGTGTGTGTGTCACTGTGAAGACATACTTCACCATTAGGGTACATTGCTACACGTGTGTGTGTCACTGTGAAGACATACTTCACTATTAGGGTACATCACTACACCTGTGTATGTGTGTGTGTGTCACTGTGAAGACATACTTCACCATTAGGGTACATCACTACACGTGTGTGTGTGTGTGTCACAGTGAAGACATACTTCACCATTAGGGTACATCACTACACCTGTGTATGTGTGTGTGTGTCACTGTGAAGACATACTTCACCATTAGGGTACATCGCTACACGTGTGTGTGTGTGTGTCACTGTGAAGACATACTTCAGCATTAGGGTACATCGCTACACGTGTAGTGTGTGTGTGTGTGTCACTGTGAAGACATACTTCACCATTAGGGTACATCGCTACACGTGTGTGTGTCACTGTGAAGACATACTTCACCATTAGGGTACATCACTACACGTGTGTGTGTGTCACAGTGAAGACATACTTCACCATTAGGGTACATCACTACACCTGTGTATGTGTGTGTGTGTCACTGTGAAGACATACTTCACCATTAGGGTACATCACTATACGTGTGTGTGTCACAGTGAAGACATACTTCACCATTAGGGTACATCGCTACACGTGTGTGTGTGTGTCACAGTGAAGACATACTTCACCATTAGGGTACATCACTACACGTGTGTGTGTGTGTCACAGTGAAGACATACTTCACCATTAGGGTACATCACTACACGTGTGTGTGTGTGTGTCACTGTGAAGACATACTTCACCATTAGGGTACATCGCTACACGTGGGTGAGTGTGTGTGTCACTGTGAAGACATACTTCACCATTAGGGTACATCGCTACACGTGTGTGTGTGTGTGTGTCACTGTGAAGACATACTTCACCATTAGGGTACATCACTACATGTGTGTGTGTCACAGTGAAGACATACTTCACCATTAGGGTACATCACTACACGTGTGTGTGTGTGTGTCACAGTGAAGACATACTTCACCATTAGGGTACATCGCTACATGTGTGTGTGTGTGTGTCACTGTGAAGACATACTTCACCATTAGGGTACATCACTACACGTGTGTATGTGTGTGTGTCACTGTGAAGACATACTTCACCATTAGGGTACATCACTACAGTGTGTGTGTGTGTCACAGTGAAGACATACTTCACCATTAGGGTACATCGCTACACGTGTGTGTGTGTGTGTCACAGTGAAGACATACTTCACCATTAGGGTACATCACTACGTGTGTGTGTGTGTGTCACAGTGAAGACATACTTCACCATTAGGGTACATCGCTACACGTGTGTGTGTGTGTGTGTCACAGTGAAGACATACTTCACCATTAGGGTACATCACTACACGTGCATCACTGTGAAGACATACTTCACCATTAGGGTACATCGCTACACGTGTGTGTGTGTGTGTGTCACAGTGAAGACATACTTCACCATCAGGGTACATCGCTACACGTGTGTGTGTGTGTCACTGTGAAGACATACTTCACCATTAGGGTACATCACTACACGTGTGTATGTGTCACTGTGAAGACATACTTCACCATTAGGGTACATCGCTACACGTGTGTATGTCACTGTGAAGACATACTTCACCATTAGGGTACATCGCTACATGTGTGTGTGTGTCACTGTGAAGACATACTTCACCCATAGGGTACATCGCTACACGTGTGTGTGTGTGTGTGTCACTGTGAAGACATACTTCACCATTAGGGTACATCGCTACACGTGTGTTTGTGTGTGTGTCACAGTGAAGACATACTTCACCATTAGGGTACATCGCTACATGTGTGTGTGTCACTGTGAAGACATACTTCACCATTAGGGTACATCACTACACGTGTGTGTGTGTGTGTCACAGTGAAGACATACTTCACCATTAGGGTACATCACTACACGTGTGTGTGTCACAGTGAAGACATACTTCACTATTAGGGTACATCGCTACACGTGTGTGTGTGTGTGTCACAGTGAAGACATACTTCACTATTAGGGTACATCGCTACACGTGTGTATGTGTGTGTGTCACAGTGAAGACATACTTCACCATTAGGGTACACCACTACATGTGTGTATGTGTGTGTCACAGTGAAGACATACTTCACCATTAGGGTACATCACTACACGTGTGTGTGTGTGTCACAGTGAAGACATACTTCACCATTAGGGTACATCACTACACGTGTGTGTGTGTGTCACAGTGAAGACATACTTCACCATTAGGGTACATCGCTACACGTGTGTGTGTCACTGTGAAGACATACTTCACCGTTAGGGTACATCACTACACGTGTGTGTGTCACTGTGAAGACATACTTCACCATTAGGGTACATCACTACATGTGTGTGTGTGTCACAGTGAAGACATACTTCACCATTAGGGTACATCGCTACACGTGTGTGTGTGTGTCACAGTGAAGACATACTTCACCATTAGGGTACATCACTACACGTGTGTGTGTGTGTGTCACTGTGAAGACATACTTCACCATTAGGGTACATCGCTACACGTGGGTGAGTGTGTGTGTCACTGTGAAGACATACTTCACCATTAGGGTACATCGCTACACGTGTGTGTGTGTGTGTGTCACTGTGAAGACATACTTCACCATTAGGGTACATCACTACATGTGTGTGTGTCACAGTGAAGACATACTTCACCATTAGGGTACATCACTACACGTGTGTGTGTGTGTGTCACAGTGAAGACATACTTCACCATTAGGGTACATCGCTACATGTGTGTGTGTGTGTGTCACTGTGAAGACATACTTCACCATTAGGGTACATCACTACACGTGTGTATGTGTGTGTGTCACTGTGAAGACATACTTCACCATTAGGGTACATCACTACAGTGTGTGTGTGTGTCACAGTGAAGACATACTTCACCATTAGGGTACATCGCTACACGTGTGTGTGTGTGTGTCACAGTGAAGACATACTTCACCATTAGGGTACATCACTACGTGTGTGTGTGTGTGTCACAGTGAAGACATACTTCACCATTAGGGTACATCGCTACACGTGTGTGTGTGTGTGTGTCACAGTGAAGACATACTTCACCATTAGGGTACATCACTACACGTGCATCACTGTGAAGACATACTTCACCATTAGGGTACATCGCTACACGTGTGTGTGTGTGTGTGTCACAGTGAAGACATACTTCACCATCAGGGTACATCGCTACACGTGTGTGTGTGTGTCACTGTGAAGACATACTTCACCATTAGGGTACATCACTACACGTGTGTATGTGTCACTGTGAAGACATACTTCACCATTAGGGTACATCGCTACACGTGTGTATGTCACTGTGAAGACATACTTCACCATTAGGGTACATCGCTACACGTGTGTGTGTGTCACTGTGAAGACATACTTCACCCATAGGGTACATCGCTACACGTGTGTGTGTGTGTGTGTCACTGTGAAGACATACTTCACCATTAGGGTACATCGCTACACGTGTGTTTGTGTGTGTGTCACAGTGAAGACATACTTCACCATTAGGGTACATCGCTACATGTGTGTGTGTCACTGTGAAGACATACTTCACCATTAGGGTACATCACTACACGTGTGTGTGTGTGTGTCACAGTGAAGACATACTTCACCATTAGGGTACATCGCTACACGTGTGTGTGTCACAGTGAAGACATACTTCACTATTAGGGTACATCGCTACACGTGTGTGTGTGTCACAGTGAAGACATACTTCACTATTAGGGTACATCGCTACACGTGTGTATGTGTGTGTGTCACAGTGAAGACATACTTCACCATTAGGGTACACCACTACATGTGTGTATGTGTGTGTCACAGTGAAGACATACTTCACCATTAGGGTACATCACTACACGTGTGTGTGTGTGTCACAGTGAAGACATACTTCACCATTAGGGTACATCACTACACGTGTGTGTGTGTGTCACAGTGAAGACATACTTCACCATTAGGGTACATCGCTACACGTGTGTGTGTCACTGTGAAGACATACTTCACCGTTAGGGTACATCACTACACGTGTGTGTGTCACTGTGAAGACATACTTCACCATTAGGGTACATCACTACATGTGTGTGTGTGTCACAGTGAAGACATACTTCACCATTAGGGTACATCGCTACATGTGTGTGTCACAGTGAAGACATACTTCACCATTAGGGTACATCACTACACGTGTGTATGTGTGTGTGTGTCACAGTGAAGACATACTTCACCATTAGGGTACATCACTACATGTGTGTGTGTGTGTCACAGTGAAGACATACTTCACCATTAGGGTACATCACTACACATGTGTGTGTGTGTGTGTCACTGTGAAGACATACTTCACCATTAGGGTACATCGCTACACGTGTGTGTGTCACTGTGAAGACATACTTCACCATTAGGGAACATCGCTACACGTGTGTGTGTGTGTGTCACTGTGAAGACATACTTCACCATTAGGGTACATCGCTACATGTGTGTGTCACAGTGAAGACATACTTCACCATTAGGGTACATCGCTACACGTGTGTGTGTGTGTCACAGTGAAGACATACTTCACCATTAGGGTACATCACTACATGTGTGTGTGTGTGTGTCACAGTGAAGACATACTTCACCATTAGGGTACATCACTACATGTGTGTGTGTGTGTCACAGTGAAGACATACTTCACCATTAGGGTACATCACTACATGTGTGTGTGTGTGTGTCACAGTGAAGACATACTTCACCATTAGGGTACATCACTACACGTGTGTGTGTGTGTGTGTCACTGTGAAGACATACTTCACCATTAGGGTACATCGCTACACGTGTGTGTGTCACTGTGAAGACATACTTCACCATTAGGGTACATCGCTACACGTGTGTGTGTGTGTGTCACTGTGAAGACATACTTCACCATTAGGGTCCATCACTACAGGTGTGTGTGT